CGATAAAGGAGAGGAGCAATCGAGTCGAAGTTGCCTCTGTGTTGCGGAGTGAAATGAGGATGAAGACGATGATGGGGGTGGGGAACAGTTCATGAAGATGATGTTGTAAAAGAAGACATCAGGTCTGATTTCATGATTGAACGGAGAATAAAGATGGAGGCACACGATGAGGGTTTTAACAGAGAAAGGACGGAGGTTATGACAGTGTTCATCAATTCACGGTGGTTGTAGGGAGGTGGCGGGGGCTGCTTCACCGAAAAATGGGGGGCCGATTTGTATGTGATATATATAAATAAATGTATAAATCTATTTAGATAGATAGAGCAAATTACATTCTTGGTCCCTGAGATTTTTAAATCAAAAGATAAGTTTTTAATAAATTATTAAAAGTGATAAAAAGACTAAAATACCCTTTGAGTTAACTTACTTAAATGTCTTTAAGGGTGTTAGGGTAAAGGAACCAAAGACGTGTGAAATTGTAAACCATAGGGATATTTTCCATAACTATTTTATATTAGAGACGTACAATGTGATTTTATGTAACCATAGGAACAAATTTATAATGTACTCTGTAGAATAAGAAAAAAAAAATTTAAAATATATTATTATAATAAGGAAAAACGAAAGTATAATATATATATGTATATATTATAATAAGAAAATTTATGAAAATAGGTTGATTTTCTTACATTTGGTCCGAATATAATATATATATAATATATATATATATATATATTATCAATTATTAAGTATACATATATTAATATACAATATTTAGAGAGTAAATTACATGTCTAGTCTTGTGGTTTTTATTACATATTTGGTACCTATGATTAAAAGGACAAAAATACCCTCTTAATTAACCTACTTAACAAAAAAATCTAAGGTAGTGACAGAGACCCAATGCATTATCTATACTATATTATAAAGTCTTTGACAAAAACTCTTAAAAATGATTTTTTATGCATGAAGTACTGTTTATTGATGCATATTACTTAAAATTTAAGATTACAAGTAAATTATACATAAGTACAACTTATTAAAGCGTCATACTTGAATTCGTCTAACTAACTGCAGATAAAAATAATCAAATATTGAATAAACATCTTATTTCAAATACTTAGTTATTATATTTATAAAAAATTATAATAATAAACCTAAATTAAATTTCTTTGTTACTAAATCTAAATTAAATTATAATTAAAAAAATTTAATTAAGGAAATTACACCAAAACACAAGAACTTTTAAAAAGATTAATTTAATACTGATATCGATATTTTTTTTTCAAAATTTTATGATATTTTTAAATTTATATTTTATTCAAAAATAAAAACATTATCACTTTCTCAAAACCACATAAAATCAATGTTTACTTAAAATTCAAGATTACAAATAAATTATGCAAAAGTACAACTCATTAAAGCTCGATGTTTGAATTCGTATAACTAACTGCAGATAAACATAATCAAATAGAGGATAAACATCTYWTTTTAAAATATAAAAAATCTAAAATATAATTARGATAATTATCGAGTTCTAACAAAATAATTAATTATTATCTTTATAATAAAATTATATTATTAAACCAAATATAAATTACTTCGTTATTGTACCTAAATTAAATTATAATATAAAAATTGAATTAAAAAATTACACAAAAAAGAGGAATTTTAAATAGTTAATTTGATATGAATATCGATATATTTTTGTTATTCATAAAGTACTGTATATTGATGCATATTACTTAAAATTCAAGATTACAAGTAAATTATGCATACAACTTATTAAAGCTCGATGTTTGAATTCGTATAACTAACTGCAGATAAACATAATCAAATAGAGGATAAACATCTCTTTTTAAAATATAAAAAATCTAAAATATAATTAAGATAATTATCGAGTTCTAACAAAATAAATGATTATTATCTTTATAAAAAATTATATTATTAAACCAAATATAAATTATTTCGTTATTATACCTAAATTAAACTACAAAAAAATTGAATTAAAAAATTACACAAAAAATGAGGAATTTTAAATAATTAATTTGATACTAATATCGATATATTTTTGTCAAATTATTATGATATCTTCAAACTTATATTTTATTCAAAAATAAAAACATCATCGTTTTCTCAAAATCACATAAAACCATATTATAACATCGACTGAGATAAAAAATAAAATAAAATATTAAAATCAAGATGTATCTCGTTGCATTGCGCGAGGACCTTTTTAGTCAATTACAAACAACACAGATGTAATCCATATATACTTCAAAATAGGGACTCAGAGTGTTAAAATACATATAAATCATTAAGACCAAATTTGTAATTCACTCTAAAACAAATGATTTGCAAGAGTTGTTAAATATATAAGATTACTAATACACCCTCCATTTTTAATTAGAAAAGAAAACATTGATTACATAAAATGAGCGACTCACATTGAATCTCACAGTTATCTCAAATTATTGAGTTCTCATTTAATTATGATTCCTGTATGTATGAGGAACATGCCAACAAAACCGTAATTTTTACAAACACGTACAGATATGCATGATTAAGCCCACGAGAATACATATCTAGATGTTTTGATATTTGCATGGTTTTTAAATTGGAAACCAACATGATGTTGTAACTTTGTATTTTCACACTGTGCACACATAACTTAGACATTATTATCACATTGTGTACACCCATTTATATTTCATCCTTTTACGTTTAGTGAACAACTTTTGCCAAATTAAGAGGAGCGAGAGGATGGTTCTTAGTCTAACGACACGTCAATTATGTATAGGAGTTCGAATCAGTTGAGGATGACCAATCTCAAAATGTAAAAGTAGAAAACTGTAATAGTTAAGATTGGAAGCCGTTGTTCACAATAATAAAGAAAAGTGATGATATTAACTATATTCATTTGGAAAAGACAGAAAAGATGATGATTTATACAAACACAATGTAGAACTAGATATATAATTAATGTGAAATTGGTCATAGTTGTGATTTGATAATATCCTAAATTGGCAATATTAAACAATTGTTAATATTAATAATAAGAAAGTGATGAATTTAAAAAAGCCAAAGGAAGTGGTAAAAGGGCTTTAAAGGGGACTGAAAAGTCAATGAGTAGAATTGAACCTTGTTTGACATTTTCGTCTCCATAGGACCCACACCCAAGTGCCTGCACTTCTCCTCTCTTTCTCTACTCTCTTCAATACCGCGTGTATCACACCGCCATCCTAAATTAAGATTATATTTTAAAATAATTCACTACTAAACTACTTGCCTTATTTTTGAAATTCTCATTGTTTAGATTTTGTGTGGACCAAAATATTTTTGACAAAATTAAAATATAAAAGTTTATACCTTTTTTTAACACGTTTATTTCACTTTTATCCGTGTAGTTAAGTTTAATCCAATCTCATCTAGATAACAAACACATCCACGAAGATCATCACTATAGTGTTTTATTAGTTTATTTCTTTCAATAGGAAAATAATCGTTTGATATTTCCACATTAGTATTAAACCTATTTACTTAGGAGGCTAGGCATCGCTACGGGGTGGGGATGTGGCAGGTTTTGTAATCCCCGGCCTCGACCCCGGTTTTTAGTAAAAGCCCCCGGTCCCCAAGGGGTACGAGGATTAATATCTCGTCCCCGGTCAAACCTCTTGAAGTCTTTCCCAATATCGAATTACAATTACAAAATTCTAAATTCAACTCATTAATGTTGAGTGGATAGAGGTAGATAGAGAGTACATATACTCACATCAAAGGACTACAGGAGGCGTCGGCTGGACCGCTGAAGGGCAGAGGGATGGACCGCTGGAGGACGTCGAGGACTTGAGTCGTCGATAGGTCAAATGGCAGACCGGTAGAGGGCTGGAGGAGATTGGCGAGTGGGCAGTGGCAATGAGGGATGGGAGGTCCAAAGGACGACGATTGAGATCTAAACTCAATCGATGGCTCCATTTGGACCATTTCCTTTCAATTTCTTATTATTTGAAGTCCAACAGCAGCAAAGGCCCATTATCAGAATTTTGAAAGTCCAAATACTTATTAAATGAATACTAGTATATCGGGTATGGAGAGGGTTGGGGGTACAATACCCGGCCCTGACCCCAACCCCGGTTTGAGTCTACCGGTGATCCCCGGCCTTGGGACCCGTTTTAGCGGGAAATCCCTATCCTTATAGGAGGCATTTTAGAACTTGATGCTCCGACTGTTTTTATCCTCTGATGCTTGAATTGTAATCCTGATTCACCATGACAATTTAATTAGTTGTTTAGAAACAGAGATCGTGTTAGGATCCAAGCGCTTACCACTACGCCAAAAGCAAGATCTTTATAGCTTAGCAACCAGCGCCACGTTTCGATTTAGAAAGATGCTGGTCAATGTCCCAACAATCCCCCCCAGCATCTGCCAGCACAAACAAGATCTTCGCTAGAAGTCAATGGCTGCACAACATGCCTTTGGCATTATTATGCACTCCATGGGATTCGAACCCGTGACCTGCTCTGATACCATATGTTAGGATCCAAACGCTTATCACTACGCCAAAAACAATTGCTGGTGAAGAAGGCGCACCATATTTGCTTATAGCGTAGCAGTCAGCGCCACGTTTCCATTTAGGAAGATGCTGGTAAATGACCCAACAGATTGTCAAGTAAAATATAAAGCAACTTTTAAGAGACCATTATAGTCTTACATTTTTTAGACTTTAAACATTCTTTCTCGGTATATGTTAAAACATTTCTTCTTTTTTTAATGATCGTTTTAAAAAGTGTTATAATAAGATTTTATAATATGTTTTTTTTTGGGATGTAAGTTGAGTGTAGATCACGCTCTAAAGACGGGAGTGAGGGTGGGGATGGGAGTGGGAGTGGTAAAAGGAATAGATCCAAAAGTCCCACCAAGACATTTCCTACCAAACCAAACAAAAGTACCAAATTGAAATGCAAAATGCCAAACCCTCGCCTCCTTCTTCTTCCTCCTCTTGTTCACAACTCACACTCTTCTCTCTCTCTTTCTCTCTCTTTCTCTCTCTACATTACTTCTTAATCTCTCTCTCTAGATTCATTCATCAATGGAGAATTATTCACCTAGACCTCTAGATACCAAAAACCCATCTCAAAATAGCCGTAGTAGCAACAATAATAGCACCAATTCAACCACCAGTACCACCACAAACCATCACCATCACCAACACCACCACCACCCATCGCCTCCCGCTACACCCATCGCGAGATCCGACCCTAACAACCCATATCCAACAACTTTCGTTCAAGCTGACACCACTTCCTTTAAGAAAGTAGTCCAAATGCTCACCGGATCCTCCGAAACAGCCAAGCAAGCGGCCGCTGCCCGATCTGATGCGCACGTCAGAAACCCGATCCCGCCCATGAAAACGGCTCCAAACAAGAAACCATCGAAGCTATATGAGCGGAGGAACAGTATGAAAAACTTTAAGATCAGCCCGTTAGTACCCGGGTTTGTAAACGGGTCTGGGTTCGCTGGGTCTCCCAGGAGGCCAGGCACGCCGGAGATTCTCTCACCGGGAATTCTTAATTTCCCATCTCTGGTGCTTAGCCCGGTTACACCTCTTATACCTGACCTGTTCAATAGGTCTCCGATAACCGGCGATAGTCCAAATTTAGACGTTGAAGCTGAAGATAAGGCGATTGCGAAGAAAGGGTTTTATTTGCATCCATCGCCGGCGAGTACTCCGAGAAGGGAATCGGAACCCAGACTTTTGCCTTTGTTTCCGGTGACCTCACCAAGGGTTTCAGGTTCTTCTTGAATAATGAGTTTTTTTTTTTTTTTTAATTTAATTTCCAATGTAATGATTCCATAATAGCTGAATTTTGCATAAAAAATTGGTCAAGATTTGGGGGAAAAAAATTTAAAAGAAAGAGAGACCAAAGCTAGAAAATTGACAAACCCAGAAAAAAGTACCACCACCCTATTGCACAATGTACAAGTCAGTATTGCAGTATTGTGCTGAAAAACCCAGAAAAGATTTTTTGCTCTCTTCATTGTACAAGTTCCTATCATGCTCTCAATTTCATGCCCTGCTTCAGAAATGTGTTCAATTTCAGTCTAATTTGTCATGCATTACATGCTTGTACATTATGCATTGCAAACAGTACCATGCATAAGTTTCATGTGTTCTTTAGAAAAGGTAGCCATTGATATGGATAGAGTTGCAATCTAATTGTCAAAATGACCAATCCAATGCAAGGTACATATTCCAATGCACCAATGTTTAATAAGTGATCTAATACTTTTGGAGAAAAGTATATGAAAGGCATAATTTCTCTAATAAGGGCAACAAGTCTTGTACATTATGCATCGAAAGTTGTACCTTTGTGAAGTTTGGAAAAGAGGCCAAACTACAACAGGGGTTGATAAGTGAGTGATAAAAGAGTGAAGTTTTTCTACTTTTGGTTCTAGATGTCAAGAAAAGAGTAGAAGGAATCTTGATTACAAGTAACTTTTGTACGATCCCTAGATTGTCGGCAATGTTAACGTACCAGTTTGTTGATTGTTTCGAAAGTAAAATTTAATGGTATTGATTCGTGTTTACGTGTTCGATGTCTAATGGATAACGTACGCATTGTTGGTACGAGTCTTATTGAATTTGATTGATTCTGTTGTACGATCATGAGACAGTACTTAAGTGTGAAATTCGAAATCAAAGCGTAAAGTCATCTCAATCCAAAACCGACCCACAAAATGTATTTGATCATTTGAGATAGATGGACAAAAGATGTTCTCAAATAGAGACAAAAGATGACCATGGTTTTCAACATATATGAACAAGCTCTAGACAGGGATACAAGTATCGTCTACATACATTTTACTCTTCTTAAGCCGTACATCTGATTAAGGTTTTCTTGGATATGTTTCTCGTTTCTTTTTCCAATACATAAGCATCCGTATGAAAACGTCGGAATGGAATCCTAAGAATGACTCAACTCAAAAACCAAAAGTCAAGAATTCCTTCTAATGGCTACCTTTGAAGTTTGGCATGGTGATCATGCAATTGGGAAGTTATTACCTACACATCTGAACACACTCAAGTCTACTTTTTGACCCCAAGACAACATAAAAGAAACCCAACCAACCATGATGAATAAAGACATGAGAAAGTGAAATGGTAGGGGAAAGTAGCAACTTGTGATGATGAAAAGGCAAGAAAAAGGAAGCCACAATGGCATGGGTGATTGATATACAATGGACCATTACACTTATTTTGTAGGATACATGTTTGATTTCGTATATTATTGATGGTATTTTTTGTAGCGTTGTTTTTATCCGTTTGACCTGTGTGCACGTATATCGATTTGAGTGGAGATTGGACCTTAAGAACTTGCCTTGGTGGGCCATAAGGTTTGAAAACTTTCATGTGGTGTGTTTTGGTCATCCTCAACTTTGCCAATCATAAGTCTCTATCTTGATTAGTTGTTGATGCCCATTTGGTTGGTGCTCATTGTTTGACCATCTATGTCAACATGCTCGTTAGTAGTTAGGTTGACATTCACATCCATCATGCGATGTATAATTCTTAATGCATGATATACAACGGTTTTAATAAAATTTTCCTGCATTTATTTTTGTCTGTGTTTAAACCGTAAACATAAATATCAGTATTATTCAACAACACATGTTCGAAATGCTTTTTTGAAGGGTCAAAGTCAACGAAGCCTTTATTATAAGTAAGACCTCACTCGTAAAGAAAAGTAGATATTACTGTATACATTCGGTTATGGCTTTTGCATAGATTTGATCCTCTATTTTTGTTTCATGTTTTAACTTTTTTTTAAATTTTTTTAAAGGGTCTTGGGATTAGCGGTATGTGAGTCTTTCACCTCCTAGGAGGTTAGATGTTCAAACCTCACCACAGTTGATGAGAGTGTGCAAGTTTATTTGTTTTATTTACCGTATATAAATATTATATAATTCAAAAAAAATTGTTTAAAATTTGGATTCTTATTAGTGTAATTACAATTTTTGGCCCAGGATGGAATGTAATTGAAGTTATAAATCTCAACCTTCCAAGGGTCATGAGTTACAAGAATTGTTATTAGTGTAATTACGTTTTTGTCCCTAGTTAGAATGAAATTGAAGTTGTCTTCTAACTTCTAACTATAAGGGCCATGAGTTTCATGGACTCTTTGATTGTTTAAAGGGCAGACGACTTGTAAAGATCGACAAACAAATTGTTGAACATAAAAGAAATGCTGGTTGTTTATAATTATATTGAATTAATCTTATAAACTGAAAATCAAACACACAAATGAAAAGTGACCAAAGGCCATTAGGCCAACATATGGTGCCCGGGTTTTCAGGAGAGTCCAATTTCTCAAGAGGTCAAGGGTTTAAATCTCACAAAAATTGAGAAGTGTGCGTAAGATCACGAGTATTTGTTGCATATTGTTAGTATTGTTAGTCTTAATCATCAGATTTGTATATAATACTAGTAGACAACCAACCAAAACACTTTGAAAAAAACATTCTTGTTTTCCTTATTCACCAACTATCCATCTATATTTGATGTAAACTTCATAGCGTCTATAAACTGGTAAAATCTGATATGTAAAAGTCTTACATTTTAGATATAGACAAAGGTATGATTTTTACTTGTAAAAGTCTTATAACTATCTGTATTGACCAAAGAGCATAATGCCTTCAGCATAATCGAAGACTAGTTGAACTGAGGTCAAGATCGTCACTAAAACGGATTGGTTTGTCATATAGCCGAATGAATATCAGTACAAGATAAAAAATCAACTAGTAGTCTGACAACTACTATCATTGATAAACTTAATCTTGAATTACAAACTTGACCAGCAAGTTTGGCTCTCCAACTCACTTGCTTCCTAATCTTAGTATGAGAACATGTATACTATGTCAGTCTAAGCAAGTACGACGACACCATGTGAGTGATACTTTGTTTGCTTTACTATTCCTTGAGCATACTAAAAGGATAGAGTAAGTTAAAAATGTGTCTACATCAAACTCAAAAGTTGAAACGAAGAGTACTACGATACATGGATCAACCAACAAGAATAAGACACAAAAAAGTTGGAGAAATAGCATTAAATGCAATGATGACTGTAAAAGGCCACCTTTGGCATTCATTGCACTTCACCTATTTTGAAAGAACAATCCTTGTGAGAGTTTCTGAAGTAATTTCGGCCTTACGAAGAACATTATTTGTTCACCAGATCTGAAAGAGAATCCTTCTCCCTCCCTCTCTTTCAGTTAACAAATTTATCACTGTTAGACTGTTTAGGATCACAATTGTTACATTTCTAACTTCCGCAACAAATATGTAATTCTTTGTTTTTATACAAGTTATAGAGCAAAAAATTAAAAAGCGAAAATCTGTTGTGTTTGTATCCAACCCTCCTTTACAAACACTTCATGCATAAGTCATCACTTTCCAGGACCAACATATATAAATATTATATCTGACAAAAACAAGTAAATTGAAAGTTAATAACATACATGTAACAATTCTTTGAAGGATTCTATTGGCTTGATATTGGAAATGAATTTCTGGCGGAAAATGGGCACGTAGCGAACTCGATGACTCAACATAAACCAAAGCTTGTATATAGATATGGAATCATGTATATGATCATTGTTTAATGGTGTTCGCGTTATTTGTAAGGGAAGTGGTCAGTTTAAAACAGAAAATGACATTAAATGGTGATTATATTTAGGTTGTTCTTTTTTCTTTTCGGGACAAAATTTTTGATGCAAGTTTTTATATGATCGAATCTTAATTTTAGCTAGCTATATTTTAATTCTTAAGATCTTGTTTTCATTCAATTGTTAGAATTGTGCTGATTGAAATGATTTTGTTTCCAATTCGGACGTTTTGCTATTAGTTATTAAAAAAAACTTTTATACTGCTTAAAAGCAGGTTCGGTTATGACATTTTGAAGGTCCTATGCAAAAACATAAAACGTGGATCCTATATTTTTTCAGTTATACTTATAATACCCATGTTCTGTTTATAAGTTGTGTTAAGTGAACTTTGGGTAGGACTGTGCATAACGTGTTTGTACCTCATGCTTAACTGACTTGTACATCAGACTAAATTGTGGGATTACCATACAAGGGGCCACACACATATAAAATGAAACTAAACTTAACTTAAAATGTCAAGTTGAAGTGCTATTAGGGTACAAAGTTGAGAAACTAGACTTGAGGGGCCAAAATAGAAAATTTGAAAATATAAATACCCCAAAATTATAGAAAAAAAAATCATAAAACCCTAATACGTATTATTTGTTGTCTCTTGTTTTCTCAAGAACCTCCATAGGCGAAGTAAAATCAAGTCAAGATATCATCAATTGGTTGAAGGTTTGGAAGATTAAAGCTTAAAAACTCAAGGTATGTGTATAATTTCTAAACTTTCTTAAGTTGAAATTCTAATTAGGTTAATGTTTCAATACATGGGTTAGAAATTTTGTTTAGGCTTGAAATTTTAAGGAGATTGAAAATATTCAAGCTTGTTTGATGTTGAAATCATCATTTGAATCAATATATGTTAATCTCTTGGTAGAAACTTTGAGGTTTTAGTTAATTTTAGGTCTCACATAGTGAAATTATATATATGAGGTTAAAGTGTCTTGATATTATGCTTAGAAGGTCAATTAGAATGAGAATAAACATTGGTGTTATTAGCAAATCGAATAGAATAGAACTCTATTGTTTTTGTTGTAAATTCGAAGTTGTGTGCAGGGGAGGATCTGCAATTACATCTTGTTTGCAAAATTTGTATAAAATCATTCGTTGGTCCAAATTAGATGTTTAATATATCACTAGAAATCTTGAAATATCTACTACATCTTTGTAGTTTACACGAAGAGCTGATTCTGACACTAAATAGCTCAAAATCTTGAGTTTCCATAACTGGTCATATAAAACTCAGTTTTTGCACTCTGTTTTTTAAAAATTCATAGAAAAATTGGTCATTGCTCCAAATAAAGTGAACTTAGTTCTATTAGATTCCTAAGAGATGGTTCTACAACTCTCATTTATAAGTTAAAGCTTTATTTTGCCTCTAAATATATGGAAAACATCAAA